GGAGTAAGATGATCTTGTAAATACGGTGTTTCAACCGGATGGAAACCACTTTCTGTCGCCAAAGATGTCGCAGATTGGTGAAGACACTTCTGGCTTTTGTAATACATGAGCTGACTTCAGTTGCTATGCACCCATCGTTGCTGATGCAGCTGCCTAGGTAAGCTACTTGGCCAACTTAATCGCATTCGTCGCTATCAAGGGGCAAGTGGTCATCAACTGGTTGGTGGTACTGCAGCAGCACTTAGCACGTCAAAGGTGCGAAACGCATACTAAATAATGGGACCACTCAAGAGAGGTCATTCAGCGTTGATTGTAACGCCTCAACATCGCTAAACTGCAAGAAGACATCGTCAGCACAATCAAAATCAACTGGCCTTTCACCAGGCAGTACCTCAAACCTGCATTGTGAGGATCCGTAAGAGAACACTCCGCAATGGAGTTCACGACGAATTCGAACAAAAATGGAGAAATTAGACAACCCTGACGCACGCCACTTGTTGTCGAATAGCTATCCGACAGGTCATCATAGACCCTGTCTCGACTTGTCATGTTCGAGAACAAAGCAAGTAAAATGTTCACATTTATCATGGGAGCACATTTCCGCACAAGTATTTCGACCAGAATGCATCGCTCGACGGAATCGAAAACATTCTTGAAAGAAAGGAACACAGCCACTATCAGTCTGCAGTATGCGAGGCGCTGCTCTAGCGCCTGTCGGAGAGGGAGTGCGTGGTCTATACAGCATATCCAGGACGCAAACCTGCCTGCTATCCTTTACTATAGGATTCCCATTTCGCAGTGAGGCAACGAACGAGAATTGAGGCCAGTAAATTTGTCTCAACTGGGGATTAGCTAATATCTATGCGGTTAGCACAGGCAGTGCGACTGCCCTTCTTGTATATTGCTACTATACCTAATTCATGCCAGCTAGTCGGGATGGTCTGCACCGAAGCATATTCGAACAGTAAGATCAGTGTTTTGCAAAGGGTCTCACCTGCACCAATAATTAGTGCAGATGGAAGGCAACGCGGCCCAGCAGCATGAAAACAGTTGAGGGCTGGGATCGCGTTTCCGACCTCCACCTCCGATGGAACCACTCAACTAAACCTTCATGGCTCATCCTACATGACCTGGGTAGAAAGAGGTCCGGAAGCAGGGGGCCAACTGACATGATCTTGAAAGCACTCCGCCTAACGGGTTACACGGTGCTCCTCATTGGGAATCAGTGCACCCGCGCTGCATCTGATTGTTTCGCTGACGCCTGGTTTCCTGGGAGCGGTGTTGTGGATCAGCTGGAAGGGCTTGTGATAGTTCCATACTGAACCCACCTCCTCCATTTTTTGAGCCCCATTGATCCACCAGGCTTCCTTGTCAGCGCAATTGCCCGCCTTATTTCGCGTCTAATAGTCCATCTGGTCAGATTGTGCTCAGAACCAATCAGGAGGTTGCTTCTGGATTCCAACAGGTTTAGAGACCTCTCGGATATCCAGTGACTAATGCGGTGACGATTGATAATGTTACAAGCAGATGCACTTGCCTCATGCACGGCGACAGAAATCCTCTTCTACTGGAGCTCAGTGTCATTAGGATAAGGGTGCAAAGTTCGGTGCACGGTGAATGTGGTAGACTTGCTTGACCGAGGCCTGGGATAATTTCTCAGTTGTTAATCGGGGGAGACCCTTTGTGCTCCTCCCGGTAAAGTTAATAGAAAAAGAACAACGTAATAATGCATGTTCAGAGTCGACGCAAGTATTCCAGACTGAGCGGCAATCCATGATGGAACCACGCCAATTATAACTTGTGACAATTTGATCTATTTGAGTCCATCGCTGGCGGGCTACATGATGACACCAAGTGGTATTTCGGCGCCCATTGTTTCTGAAAGCCATGCTACTAAGAAACAGCTGGTGCTCCGCGCATTCCTGCAACAGCCAAGCGCCATTGTGCGTCCGTTGGGATTTAAGCCCATAATTACCACCCTAGCGACTGCTTGCTCTTCTATCTCTTTCAGTAAATCGCGTTTCTGTGCAAAAGTCGCTCTACATCTGACGAGTTGAATAGCCACACACCCAGTACAGAACAATAGAAAGTCCATCATTTTATGACGCCTATTTACATTTTCTACAACAATTAGAACATTACTTGTTGATTCATACACGCTAGCTTACTGTTCTGAAGGGTAAGCGGGGACGTAGACGTCGAGTCAGGTTAACGATCAGCTATCACGTTGAAGCCAGGTCAAATGCTTCACGTTTGTTATGACCGCAAAATGTTTGCATGACTTTTCGGTGGAGTGCGGTTGTATGTCATTACTACAATCGCACGAGGACATGCTAGATGCGGTTTAGTTGCTTTGTTTATTGATCGCCCACAGTCAAGATACTAAGTTACAAGAAAAACTTGCCGAGGGGCTGAGAGAGGTTAGCTGCGTGGAAAAGGTAGAGTACTCTGTAGCTGCTCCACACAATGGTAAACTGAAAAGGTTGGGGGCTTGCTCCAGCGCCGCTGAAGTGCTCTATCGAATGATACCAAAAATAACCGACGTTTGGAGTTACGTGGCATTTTGCGAGTAGACATGGGTAAAACACTGACCGGAATTAGCAGTTCCGAGTAACTGAATGATAGACTGATAGTGTTCTCGAGAGAATGGTGTCACGAGGAGGTGCTTGTCGATTCACGACGAACAAATATAGATACAGTGGTTTGTGACTAAATGCGGCAGAGTAACTAGGAGAAAACCACGGGGGCACGAATGTGCGACTAAAATGAGATAACAACGATTTATCACGGGTGAAAATGTAGATGCTTGACAAGCCCCATGGGATGGTTGGTCATGTACTACCATACACATAATAGAACTGTATTGGTTGGAAGCAAGTAGATGAAAATTTGGCTAGGACAACGGCTTTCGAGCGGTAGTTTGGTTGAGTTGAAGACTTACCACGGTCCACAACAGTCACAGTGACGTTATCGAGATCAAGCAGTGCATCTACATCCTATGAAGTTCAAGAGTTCCCGAACGACTCTATGCCCTATAGTGACGCACTCAACAGACTGAAAGTGCACAAGCAGCACATGTGGACGGTCTGTTTGACTAACCCACAAAAATAGCATGAGGAATCCCGGAACGTCAGCCTGTTCTCTGATATGTGCGCTTCAACCAACGATGCATCCTGATTACAGCAAGAATAAGCTCCGCCTGACTTGATCATGGACACAATATAAACAGCTGTCAGTACATGAGATGAATGTGCATGCATCGCAAGGTAACCGGTACCAATGAAACTTATCAAGCGACCAAAGGCACGGTGGTTTATTCAAGATGGACTTGACACGTTGTAAAAGCATGAACAATAATGGTTCAGCTGAGCCGCATGTGCTAACCTGGTTTTACTTCGACGCTCGGTCAACCGAATATAATCGTTATCACATGACACCAATGGTAAGTGAGGCCGTGGAACGCTAGGCAGTGATAGGTACTTGAAATGCTTTATAAATAATATCCCACTGAACACAACAAGCGGAAGTCCAAAGCAAATTCATTTCCTTAACCATTTGATGTGCAACAATGTGTCACCAAAACAGTTTTCCCTACCATACTCTTAATGTTATTAAAGGACTCCACCAGCTGAATAAGCGAGACATGAGGGAAACATGTCAAAATGTTAGAGCCCAAGGGTCAGAGGGCAATTGTTTATTGCTAAAGTGGCTTACACTAGGTGTGTTGCTTCATACCTTGGAGGCGTCCGCTCATCTGCGTGATCTCCATGGAGTGTTCCCCAACTGGTGCTTGTCTCTGTGTTCACTCCTCGTGCGCATGGAACTGTAATCCTGATGTCATCTTCAACTTTGGTGAAGTCGGCAGGGCTCGCTGTTGGTGTGTCATCTTGCACCACCACACTACATATACCCGGCGCAGTAGTATCTACCTTTAATCCACCACAAACCGTCGAAAGCGAACTTCCTATGTGTGCGAACTCAAATGCGCATGATTTGTCACGTACTTAGGTATCACCACCATCGTTCGAACATGTTGTGGGCTGATGTAGGTACTTGTCATCTCGACTCGTAACATTGTGGAACGCGTTCTGAATATCACGGTTTTGCACATATGGCTCATAACCAAAAGTACATCGATGAATTTGAAGAAGAATGAGCTTATCCGGATTGTTAAGTAGACGTTAGAAGTACCTGTTTCTCCTCATGACTTAACCACTCATTATAGGGCATAACGTTGACATGGGAGTATCTGAGTTCGCATTCCTCTAGGTAAATCGTTGAAGGGAGTTTACTATCCTATCTACCCCAGCGAATAGGTACATGCTGGCAAATCAGTGAGCAATGTTAACGCATGGGTGCCTACCATCCGAGCCCATGATCTATTGACGTACAACGCATTACAGATACCCTTCCAACATTACAGGGAGCAATCGTTTTTTAAAGCTGATTGTTAGCGGTCTTCAACTTCGAGGAGGAACATGACCTGTCGAACAGTGTAAAAACCCACTGACGGCTCACTGTCGGCGCCACATTGTCAATACATTCCGCCAGCATTTATGTATTTGTTCAATATGTTTCAAAACAACCAGAACCTTGGTATCATGTGTGCCGACTCAAATGTCACTCCTGTGTGCATAGCTCATAGGTCTAGATGTCTGCTGGAGCTTACGCACGCTGATCAGTGGACTTTGTAGATCATATATTTGAAGGTAACCTATCCGCATACAATGTCGGAGGCGGTGAAGATAGGAGAAGATTGGTAAACTTTTATACAGCTTCCTTTTTCTTAATGTGTAACAGCCATACTATTTTATAAATGGCTTGCAGCCCAGAAGGGTCATAAAAATAACACGCAAAACACAGTAGATTGTTAAAGTTGTCGTCTCAGTAGAAAGCCAGTGGAATAATTGGTCGGGGGCAAAAGTTTCAAGCACGTCGAGTCGGAGATACCGGAACTATGCTGTGGCTTGAATTAACTTAACGGCCATTTGATGACTCACCTGCATGATTCGATCCACTTGACTGTGGTGTAGTAAAAACAGAGGGTCATTTGCAGCAGTTGCGGCACAACAAAAGCTCCCAGTAACCATATTATGTACCCTGTTATGCATGTACATTTGGTCCCCATTGGCTTCAGGAGACCCACAGAATCCCTCCAGAGCTTGGTGGAATCCTCGGCATTTGCCCACGTCTTCGGTCTTTTGTGGAAGATAAAAGCTACAAGGATGGACAGACATGGTTTGAAGTTCAGGGGAACACGTCATTTCTAACCATAGTTAGCTCAATTGTTTAAGAGGATAAACTCAGTGTGCTTTTGCATCGCATACAGACAGTGGTCAGTTCGGGCCACTGGACGGCGTGCGAGAAAAGTAACATTTTGTGTTAAACAATATTCTTCGAGTACAGACAGAGACTGTGGTATCTTCATAATAGCGTGTTTAAGGAAACAAGCGTCATTTAGAGCAAGTGAAATGACAAACACTAATGTCTATGATGTTCATAGGACCCTTCGTTTCAACAACGTCCAAAAGCGCAAGTTGCCATCACTTACAGGAGAAACTGCTGAGTTAGTTAGGACAACAAATCAAACGCCTGTGCAAACAAAGGTTAATATTGCTCACTCCAAATGATCCATTGTTCTAGAGCTTGGTTGAAATAAAATAACAGAAGTGACTGAGCCAATAATAGAACGTTGGACACAGCGACAGTAGACATGTATAAGCAAGGTTGTGGCAAGGAGTTCCGCAGGTAACGGTTGTCACAATAGTACAAACGTCATTTTAGCTACAATTTCGAATTGGTTATCAGGCGTTTAGGAGGGGATATCCAAACTAAAGCTGGGTAGCGATCCGCTTTAATGTAAAACATGGTGACTGCGATCGATGGAACCGGATCCTAAGTACCTAAACACTAGGTAGTACTCCAACGCTTCGTTATGTGAATTTCGTCTAAAGGGAAATCTGGCAATTAGTGATGGTTTGACTAACAAAATGAGAAAACGATTGCTGGTAGATGCGCGCATTTCGAATTGTCCAGTCAGTACTAATAGAATAACAGGAAATTAACCTCCACCATTCAAAAGGTGTTCCCAACTAATGTAACAAAGTGAGGTGAACGGTGACAATAGTGTAGCACCAGAACAAAGTAAGCTGAATCACTGATGGTTCCTACACACATAGAGCACTTCTTAGCTGGATTATCGCACTGCCTAGGTAAAACCGCAAGAAGCGTGGAGTAAGATGACGTAATAATTTCCGATACGTAGAGAAGGGGTCAATCTGATGATGGGTTAACAATACATGTCTGCCTATTTATGATGCCGGCGGCATGCGTGCACACAGAACGTTGGGCGAAGGATCACTAACCTCACGCTGAACCCAGTTGGGCAGGTGTTCCTTCACTCTGGAATTCAAAACCCTCTCAGTCCTTCCCATGTAACTGACGTCGCAGTTGCATCTAATTTGTTAAATACAGTGTGGTTTGGCGTTCATGGGTTCCTCTTCCCATACTGAAGATATCGAAAGTTTTCGGGTTCGACTGATCATCCCGGCATTTGCAGCGCAGTAGGTTCTCTGAATGGCAGAGTTTCAGCGCTTGTTTCTCCTCGTTGCGGCGGCGATATACTTGAATAGAGATCGAGGTATAACCTCAGCTTGGATGTTGTCGACACACTTTCGGCGGTTGGACCTGGCTCGGCTTCTCGGTTTAGGGTTCCGCATAACCGATCTCCATTAGCGTTCTGGTTATTGTCTTCATCTCCTCAGCCTGACAATCGCTGAAGCAATTATGTCTGGCAAAGTGAACAAGGTTTGTACCAGTGCATCCTTGTGGCTCACCGGTGTGAAATTTGTTAAGCGTATGTATTGTCCGGACCATGTTGATTTCCTGTAGACGGACCGCTTAACTAGCCCGGTAAACCTTCGGCTGATAGGAATGTCAATGCACAGCGGTCCTTCATCTCGAATTCATGAGTGGCTTT